CATCACTTAACGACCGGATATGACTCTTCCACACAAAATGATCCCTATGAGTGTCACCTCCTCCACTCAAGAACATAGAGTGGACACAAAAAGTATAACAGTGAAATGCAACACTGTGCCAATAGCATGAGAACTGGATACATTTAATAAGCATGAACAGTTACTGTTCCACGGTTTAATACGGACGATGCTTTAGTTCGTCAGCAGATCAAAATGAGATCAGGTGTTCTCGATGCACGGTTCAGCAGTGTGAATAAACTCAGCAGCTGATTAGAATCAAGTATAAAAACATTTACACCGTAACCATGGTGATTTAGCCAGTTAAGATGGGAGACACAATTTTCTGTTTTATAAGGTCAATACAGTTCATTAAGCTATCAGCCTGACTTTTAAGGTCAGGTCCTTATTTTGTCTGTTGATATTTGAAATCACACCCAAAGTGAGGATGTAAAAAACCCACATTCTACAAAGTTCTCCTCATAATGCACCAAAATGCACTTGGTCTCCACACAAACATGCACGCACACACACACACACTCATCCATTTTTAATGCTCCATCATTCCTGAGGAAATATTGACAGAAATCTCTTTGTCTCCGTCTTACCCTCCCCCTCCCTCCCTCCCTCCATCAGCATCTCCCCAAAGCCTCATTGTTTCCCATCTTTGCTCTTGCTCCCCTTTTTCTGTATTTGCAACCAAAAAATAAAAATCACAAAACAGTCTGCTGATGCAAGAAAAATATGAATGACAAACTGTTATAATAATTTTATGTGGTATAAGCAGAAGTATATGGACTCCCTAGACCAGGGGTGACCAACTCCAGTCCTCGAGAGCTGCTGTCCTGCAGCTTTTAGATGCATCCCTACTCCAACACAGCTGAATCAAATGGTCTGATTGCCTCTTCAGCAGCCATCAAGTTTGGCAAAGGCCTGTTAACAAGTCATTCATTCAGGTGTGTCGGAACAAATCAGTCATTTGTTAGTAAAGCTAATTAAGCTTTAAACTCTTTTACACTTCACTGTATATTGTGAATACAAACACAAGTTGTAGTTTGAGGCTGACTGATAAATAGTCAAGTTACCATTATTGGATTGAATTTACTTTACAATTCCCACATAAAGGGTTTAACCACTTCAGTACTTATATGACCAGTAGGGGGACATGTGACGTCCCCAAATTCATTACTATCCACATAAAAATCAGTAAGTGGTACAACTGTGGGTTTGGTCTTCTTTAAATATCCACATATTTATATCTAGATATAAACTAATATTTCATTATGTAAATTTCCAGAAATTAACTGAAAGATTTGGGAATTATAAAAACATCAATATACAAAATATGTTTCTGGTGGACTAATTTACAGTTTTAGGGAAAGAGAACAAATACACTGACTAAGCTGGAAAAGGACCACCTGTGTTGGTGGTGGGTTGCAAAGTGGCTTTAGGAAGCTAATGGGCTAAATAATGTGTGTAGGTGTGCAGAGCGGTATCAAATGAGCCATTAGCTCTTATCTGACTGCCTGGTAAAGTCAAGAACAGCAGCTTTTGTCTTCTTCACTTGTTCAGTCACATCTTTAGTTATTTCTGGGTCCAAATGAGTCACAGATTATTATGTCAGGGTGATTTCATGCTGCAAGCTTGAAAGCTAGCTTGTAGAATCTCCTGGTCTCGACTCTGTGAGCTTTCTTGTGTAATTGAGTGTAAATATCATCGAATGGCTGAAAGGATCCATCCATGATGTAAGAGCCAATTAAAGGTTAATTTTATTG